GTTGAAGTAATGTGAACTGAGCTCTTTTTAGACTCTTTTTAGACTGTTTCATAGTAAATATTCTATTTATTGCTGCTTTTTAGAGTGTTAAGTGCCCTTCATAATCTTGTTTTCTTTGAGTCATCTTCCAATCTTCAAATTATTATTGAACTAAAAATATTTCATCAATTATTTCATTGTTAATGTAACTTTTCAAGTTTGCTGTATTTTTAACATGTTTGGAAGATGGGATAGAAACTTGTCAATGAGAAATTAGATTTTGCTTAAATTTGCTTTAAAACTTTTATCATAGCACTTTAATTTTTTTTTCTTTGTATCTGGTACAGGATCTCACCACACAGCTCAGACTTATAGTGATCCTCCTCTTTACAGCCTCCCTAGCACTGGGATTACAGGCTTGTACCACCATACCCGGTCTTGGTGGCCTGCTCAGCGCAACCAGGGGGCAGGGCCAGTGCGGCTGTGATGCTAGGGATCAAACCCTGGTCCCTGCACTTGCCTAAGCAGGCACCTTAGTCCACTGAGCTATCTCGCTGGCCCTTTTAAATTATTTATAGAAATGAAAATAGAAGTTTTTAGTCTGAAGTGTGAGGTTTCCATTTTTTTTTTTTTTGCTTGAAAATCAACAGAAAAAAATTAAAATAATATTTCCATCTTTAATGAAAAAGATGTTTAAATTCATCTTTAACTTAATAAGCTAAGAATTGGAAAATAAACAGCAGATAACTTAGGGAGACTATCAAAACTGAGTGCCTAAGTATATCTAGAATACTGAATTAAAATGACCTCATTACACTTGCAAATTCAAAAGGACTGAGAAATTAGACTAGTACTACAAGATATGTTAGTGAAACAGGAATTGTAGAGGAATTGCTTGAAAAATTTAACTTAAGAAACAAGGCTCCCTTTGTTTCCACTTCCCAGAGATAGGAAATGTATTGTCTGGTTGAACTATAGGGTTTCCAGACACATAGTAGGGCAGAGCTGAGATGCCCAACTAAAGATGGGGATTAAGCGAAATTCCTCATGCCAAACAGTAAATTCATTAAGTCACCCTTCCCACTTGGATCCATACTCCACTGTCTCATGTTTAATTATCTTAAGTAGAATCAAGGGACTCTCCTGGAGAAATTGAGCTAATCCAAAAAAGCTCCTTAACAGGTACCAGTATTTAAAGACTTCAACTAAAATGACCATTACCCTGAAGTCTACCAGTTGGTAAGGCTAATCTTTACAAATACATCATTATAGTCAGTTTTTTAGTAGTAACCTTTAAAAAACCAACCAAACATACACTGTTGCCATTTGTGGAGTTTCCAAAATAATAGAAATACATACAATAGGAGAAAAGGTAACAGACATACAGGAAACAAAAACACTTCAAGGAAATGATAATTGATAACCTCAGACAGATAATATCTAATAAAACAGGATGCTTTCAGGAAAAAAATGAGCAAGTTTTAGGAATTGAAAGTATAACAAATAAATATGGAGGATGTGAGGGTGATCTGGCTGCAACATCTATCACCCCATTGATTGCCAGGGTTGATTTGGCTAATCTGGCTGGCTAGGCAGGTGTCTCCTTCCTCCCTCATGCTCCATGTGTGTCCCTTGCAAAGCTACCTGCTCAGTTGAAGAGGATGACCACCCCCGATAGAGGAGGACATTTCTCAGTCGAGGGTATACAGTCTAGTATATATGAGTAGCTGCGCTCCCCTACTAGAACCTCCAAACAAGCTCTCAAGAAATAAACATAGAAGCGGAGCATAGTGGTATTTAACAAGAATAAAGCAGGAGAAAAATTCCAAGTTCTAAACTAACCTGCCCAAGTTAGCAAGGACTTGTCCCAAAATAAACTTAAGAGCTGGGATGAACTCAAGGCCAAGGCTGTGGGTTTATCCCCAGGGAGAAAAGTGAAATGAGAAGAAAAGAGATTGTTTAAAAGCATTGGAAACAACTAAAGAACTGTCCCGGAATACAGAACAAAAGACAAAAATAGGGGGCCTGGCCCTAGTTCAGTCCTTTAAGTGGCTGCTAACACAAAGCTGTCAGCCTCAGGTTGCTGGAGTTCGAACCTCACAACTCTCCTGCTGGCCAAAAGTGCCCTGAAGGCATTGGAGGAACAAAAAAAAAAAAAAAAAAACACCTTATTCCATTTGGGCTGGAGAGATGGCTCAGTGGTCTAAAGCACCTACTTGGAACAAGCTTAGCAAAGCACAGGGACCGCGGTTCAATCCCCAGCACCACATGCCAGCCAGCCCCGCCCCCTGGTGGGCTGAGCTGGCCACACACACACACACACACACACACACACACAATAAATGTAAAAAATAAAAAAAAAAAAAAAAAAAGACAAAAATAAAAGAGAAAATTAGAGGTTATTTTTTTAATTAATTTTATTGAGAAAGACATAGTAGTGAGACGGTTTCACAACAGGTTAGTAGGACAGTTACAATAATTAATACATTGCATATTGTTCCTTGTGGTAGTTACTCATAGTACAAGATATCTCACCTAATAAAGTTCTAGAAAGAGATAACAGAAAATACATAACCTTATTAATATATTAAGGAAACAAAATATAAATTTCTCAGAGCTAAAGATAATCCTAAATTGAGCAGGTCAAGCGTTCAGTGCAAACTGTTGGTATTCACATACTTGTATAAAGTATATTATTGGGAAATGTACTTCAGCAATAGAACTATATTCTAGTATGCAGGATCTGCCTCCCCTGAAAAAAAAATAGCCTACATCATTCTGAAGATTCAGAACCTAGTGCAGATAATATGAAGATCCACATAAGAATGTCATTGCATATTGGTGCTATATAGCTCAGTGGCAGAATTCTTAGCATGTGCAAGACAACAAGGTTTAATCATCAACAATGAAAAAAGTCAATGACCTTCACAACTCACATGAGACTGTAAAAGACATTGCAGAAAATGCAGCAAAACTTTTAAAATGATGAGGACAGTATACTGGTTTGAACTTTTCACATAGAGTTTGTCAGATATACACTAGAAAATGATGCAATGTAAAATCCACAGGCATGGATTCAAAAGTAATCAAATCACCCTTTCCTCCATGCATATTTTTAAAATTTTAAAACATTCTGGATACAGTACTGTACCATTGCAACACTAAATGGTTCTGTTTTATCTGTGATAGGCATTTTAAAGGAACAGCACCACTTTGAATTAAACTCAGCAGGGGCTGGGGAGATAACTCAGTGGTCTAAGTGCCTGCCTGGCAGGTACAAAGACCTGGGTTCGATCCCCAGTACCACATGCTGTACTGCCCAGGTGCTAGCCCAAAACCTGGGCGTGGTGGCGCGCACGTATAGTCCCAGCTCTGGGGAGGCTGAGACAGAAGGATCACTATGAGTCCGAGCTGCATAGCGAGAACCTGTACCAAATAAATAAATAAAATGAATAAATGATAAAACAATTTTGAAATTACACTCAGCAAAACAATTTATTAATATCATTAAACATTTATTTAGTTTTTGTTCGTTTTCCCTTTTAACTCAAAGATATCTTCCAGAGTTGACTTGTTCTAATTATACTGTATTGCACTTTGTAGCTGTATCTTTTTTACCAAAGAAAATGACTTGTCTTTTTTTTTTTTAAATAAATAGGCCTTTCTGTACTATTTGAACTTAAGTTCTGCATATCTATTGCTTTGAAAACCACAAATTAACATTAGATCAGTACACTTGGAGAACATCTTGGAAATTCACCACACAAACCATGGTTAGCAGAAAATGACTCCTATACGTTAATTACTTTTTCTCTTCATAGAGATGGTCATAGTACTGTTTGAACCTGAAGCTATGTGAATATCAACTAGTTTAGCAATGTAGACATAGACTCAAATATGTTGTCTAGTTCACTGCAGTGGCAAGACAGAATGACAATAAACCACCCCAAACTTGTATATGAATAATAGTCCACAACTAAAAGGTGAGCAAGATTTATCATAGCCTAGTAGTCTACTCCTGTACTCTGTGGAGATTTTAAAAATCCAAAGGATCTCTAGCTCTTTGGAGGGTATGTGTGGCAATTCATTTATGTTACCATTGGCGCAAGCACATTAGTGACCCTAAGCAATGTAGTGCACCATTTAATACCTTGGGTTTTTAAAATTTAGACATTTTGCTATTTATTACCAGGTAATTTGAAAAATGTATAATTACATTTCTGATATATACCCTAGTGTAGAAACCAGTGATGAAGTATAGAGTAAGGTGAAATAAAGTTTGAACCTTTTGGAACACACACAGTGTAGAATGATATATTTCTTCTATAGTTTCCTAACCCAGAAAGGACCCTCATTTTAAACAAAATGTTCTTTTGATGGTTCACTTCCATAATAAGTGATATTTTTTTTAGCTCACTTCCCCCTCCCCCATCCAGCACAAGTTACATTGGTTAGTCTTACTTCCTATTGATAGTAGTTCTGTCTATTATAATGGTATTTGTCTGTTTTTCATTTGAGAGCATAACGGATTTTTAAGTTTGGTTATGTTTATTTTATTTAAGTTAGCCACAGAGTGGGTGCAAATTCAATATCTTTCTCTTTAACCCTATGTTTCTTTTAGAGGAAGTCCACAAATGAAGGGGACACCCCATTTTAAGGAAGAACAGTGTGCTCCAGCATTAAATTTAGAGATGAGGAAAATAATGGATTTGCAGGCACCTATCATGAGGTACAGTGCTTTGGTTAAATTTGGCATTTTGCAATGGCTAATCACATGACCAATAGGAAAATTGCTTTCACTTCTTGGAATTGAAGATAGCTATATAAGATATTTGAAGTTTCAGAGATGGTTCATTGTTATAATAAAGCTCATAATTTGGGTGTGTCACATACTATTATTTTGAAATCATATTTTTTGGTAACGTCTAGAAATGTTTGAGTGATGTAACAATCTATAGTTCTCAAAAAGATAGCTGGCAAAAATCAAACAATTTGAGGAAAGATTAAAGTGCTTTTGTTTCCAAAGCCTTTATAGGTTTCTGGAAGTATCTGTCCAACTGGAAGAAAGTAAAGCTTTTGAATCCAAATATGAATGAAGGTTGTGTGACAAATTAGCCAGAAATACTAGAATAATAAAGCTTTATATCCATTTGTAAAAAAAAAAAAAATACTTATCATTTGGCTTTATTTCCTCAATTGCCTCATGTTAACATTATAATTATCACTTAGTCTAGCTGCATATTATTCCTATTGTGTAAATGTGAGAAAATTTATTTGAACAATATACAGCTGTGAAAACAATGAGACTGTTCTTTATTGAAAAAAGACTTCAAATACATTGTTGAGTGAAACAGACAAGGTTTCTGTAATACTACTGCTTATAGTACTTGTTCTAGAAAAGAAACAGTATATATAATTATAGAAGAATATATGTGAAACTGAGGAAGAGAACTGAATGGTTCGGAGCAGGTTTTGAGAGAAGACTTTTTACTCTACTTTAAAAAAAAAAAAAGTTGGGGCCCAGCCCTAGCTCAGTTCTTGCTTGCTGGGATCTGCATCATCCTGTACATGAAGCTCAAAGGGAAAGGTGGGGATGGACAAGGCAGCTGCGTTTGCAAATGTGAATCTCTTTGGTTGCCATGAGGCCTTAGTGATGCCGTGCCTTCCATTTGACTTTCTCCAACATGTTGAATCTTTCAGGAGGCCCAGATAATGTCCAGCAAAAGTTTTCTAATGGAAAAAATAACTTAATCTTTTTTTTCTGGAAGATTTTGCATTGTACAATGTAGAATCAGTAAAATAAAGACCTTCCCATATCTTATTAAAAAAAAAAGTTATATGAATATAATATGAATATACTGAAATACGTAAATATAATACCCATTTTTAAAGACTCCCGAATCAAAGTTCTAATAAAAGACTTACTTCACCATTTTGCTTGTTAGAATACTATACAAAATGACCACAGAAGGAATTACATAAAATGTGTGCAAGTGGTGAGCTATTTTCTTTGCCTTGGATAGTCCATCTTTTTATGGTAGTCTCATAGAAAAGAATGCCACTTTTATTATTTGCTTAAATGTGGTCAGTATTACAAAACACTGGGGGCTTGCGAGAAAGCTCAGCAGACTAAGCATCTGCTTAGGCAAGCGCAAGGCCTGGGTTCAATCCCTGGCAGCACTTGCTGTGCCAGCCCCACCCTTGGGCACACTGAGCCAGTGATGGAGTTTGGGCATGCTGGCGCACACCTGTTATCCCAGCACTGGGGAGGTTGAAAATGGGAGGATTACTATGAGTCTGAGCTGCAGAGTGAGACCCTGTACCAGATACATAAAAAATAAATAAAAAGAAAAACAAAGCACTGAATTCAGCATACTCGTCACCTTGGTCAAAAAGTTAGTGAATACTTCAGATTTTTATTTCCACATAGAAATCCTTTTCAAGAATATAATGATGCAAGTGTCTGTGGGTAATAAGCAACATAAAATGTACAAACTTCATGTTCTCCTCCTTGTGGCTAAAAACTCTATCGTACATGGAAATAGGGTATAAAGCCTTTTAAAAAAGAATTTCCAGGTTGGGACTGTAGCTTGTGGGAAGACGAGGGCTCAATTCCAAGAACCACCAAAGGGGTAAAAAAAAAAAAAAAAAAAAAAAAAATTCTGTCAGCTTGTGCTAGGTTAACCTGTCAGCTGCTGGATTCTGCAAATTTAGGTGGCTAGCCATGTTTAACCTCTCAAAATTAAATTTTTTAAAAATTGCATTTCAAACCAATGTCATTGACACCTCTATTGAAAGAGGGTTCCTATATAACTTTAAATTGAGTAAAAGGACATGACAGTCTTTATAATCATTTTCCATCCTATCATCACAAGTATAAGACAGACAAAGTTAGGAATAATACTTTGATGTTGCTTATAGGAGCAAGAATACTGTTAGCTCACATTTTTTGATTAAGGAAAATATAAAGATTACTGTTAAACATCTAGATTTTGTTAGTGAAGTGGATAATATTTGGGAAATTAAAATTTATGATTTAATAATTAAAACTGTTAGACATTCTAACTTTCAAATACCAGTTTATTCCGTATTGTCATACACCCTAGGCATTTAAGAAAGTATTGTGTAGTAGTGTTTAATACTAGATGGATATTAAATATAATTATATTGTGGGTCATTGCTAATTTTTGGGTTATATATTTGATATATATAAAATATGACTAATCAGAAATACCATTCTACTTTAAGACATCCATGGCAGCAGGTAAAATATGTAGCATATTATTTTATCATGTTAAAACCTTCAGGGGCTGGTCAGATAGCTCAGCAAATTAAAGTTGCCTGCTCAGGCAGACACAGGGGCGAGTGTTCAGTCCCAGGCCCGCCATGCCAGTCCCACCCCCAGGGCACACTGAGCCCTCAATTGAGACGGGCATGATGGCACACGCCTGTAATCCCAAGGACTTGGGAGGCTGAAAACAGGAGAATCACTACAAGTCCAATGTACGTAGTGAGATCCTGTAGACTCTGAACTAAATACGTTTTAAAAAATCTTTGGAATTCAATCAAGAGTCTAAATTTAAAATTATACGTATGCATTTGGGCTGTAATGTTTATGAAATAATCACAGCCTTTATTCTAACAGCTTGTGTACTTTTAAAGTCATTGTCTGGGGCTGGTGAGATGGCTCAGTGGTCTAAAGCACCTACTTAGAACAAGCTTAGCAAAGCATCAGGGACCGCGGTTCAATCCCCAGCACCACATGCCAGCCAGCCCCGCCCCCTGGTGAGCTGAGCTGGCCACACACACACACACATATACACACATAAATAAATAAAATTTAAAAAAAAAAGTCATTGTCTGCTAATGCTAACAAGTGTCTGGTGTTCATATTGATGGATTTTTGACTCTGGATCACAGTTTGCTATTTATTCATAGAGCTGGTCTTTTTTTAGCATTATTTATTGTCATGATTATCAATTATACAACCACTACATGTGATTTAGTGGCTGCTGTTATCAGGAAATGTAGATGTGGAACATTTCCATCATTACTGAAGATTCTTTTTGGATGATGTTAGGGGATTGTTACCTCTATACTCCGTGTCTGCAGATTATCATTCTAGTGGTTTGTTTGTTTGTTTGTTTGTTTGTTTGTTTGTTTAAGCAGTTTATTTTCCTTCTTTTTATATCATTTGTCACTTCTGCTTCTATTTTTCAATATGCTATTTCATGTATTTCTAGTTTTTAAACCCAGTTCATCACGTGTGTAACTGTGATAGCCAGAGTCCTTCATTTATCCCAGAATTTCTGATTTTAGGTTGAATTATATATAAATAATGTTGCTACATCACTAAAGTACAGATACATGGAGATTTTGTGATTTTTTTTTTTTTGCATGAATATTTTCTAAAGTAATACTCTTTGCTTTCCCAGTATACTTTTTTAAAAGTTAATGAAGTTGCTTATTTTCCTACAGTTTGCAGTCTGTGCTGGAAGATCTTCTGGTTGCTACTTCAGATGGACTTCTTCATCTTATTCATTGGGAAGGAATGACAAATGGAAGGAAAGCCATTAATCTTTGCACAGTACCCTTTTCAGTAGATCTGCAATCGGCTAGAGGTAGTTATACCCGCTACATAAGATGGAAACAGCTGTTTAATATTCAGTATAATCTAGTTAGATGTTTTCTACAGATTGATTTTAATTGAATAGTTTAGGGTGTTAGGTGATTATTTTTGCCCTTTTAACTATTTTTGCAGGGTTTGTAAGCAAAAATATGAGAAGCTAACATAATTATACTGTTTTATATATATTTTCCTCAGTAGGTTCGTTCCTGGGCTTTACAGATGTGCACATCAAAGACATGGAATACTGTGCCACACTTGATGGATTTGCTGTTGTGTTTAATGATGGTAAAGTTGGATTTATTACACCAGTGTCAAGTAGATTTACTGCAGAGGTATGGCTTAATAAACTTGTTTTTAAAAAAATTGTGGTGGGGCTGGTGAGATGGCTCAGTGGTCTAAAGCACCTACTTAGAACAAGCTCAGCAAAGCAAAGGAACCACAATTCAATCCCCCAGCACCACATGCCAGCCAGCCCCGCCCCCTGGTGGGCTGAGCTGGCCCCCCTACACACACACACATATAAATTTTAAAAAATTAAAAAAAAAAATTGTGGTGTATTTTTATATAATGAAAGTCACCCATTTCAAGTATACATTGTAATGATTTTAGTAACTTTTTTTAGTGATATAGCCACAACTCAGTTTTATACATTTTTCTTGCCCTCTCTGCACACAAAAAAAGATGACTTGTGCTCATTGGTTTATTTATTTTTGTGTTGCAAATTTGGTTTTTTATTAGTACGTGTTATAGCATACAATTACATTTATTGTGGGGCATTTATACATGTGCATAATATATCTTAATTCTTTTGCTCTCTTCCCATCCTTCCCTCAATAAAACTTTATTTTCTTTATTGTACATGTATTAATTTTACACTTTGTTATTAAACCTTTTCCATTTCTTTACTCATATAACATTTTAAGAGTTAAACTTTTTTGTCAAGTTATAAATATACATGATGCATATAGGCAAAATTCTCTTAGACACGTTGAAGAAAAAATGAGTTGCTGCCCAGTTCTCCTCATATTCAATTTGTGTTCTCAGAACAATTACTTCATAATTCCTTTCCCAGTTGTTTTGAATATTTATCTTCAACTACTCTATTTTCTTAAAGTTGTAGTTTTTGGGCTATGTTACTGAATTGTCAGAAATAACCATTTTTAGGGCCAGTCAGATAGCTCAGTGGATTAAAGTGTCTGCAGGAAAGATTCGATCCCCAGCATGTCGTGCCTGCCCTGCCCCCCGGGACACAACTGAGACTGGGCATGTTGCGCCTGTAATCCCAGTGCACTTGGGAGGCTGAAACCAGGAGAATCACTACAAGTCCTATCTGTGTAGTGAAACCCTGTAGACCTTGCACTAAATAAAAAAAGAAATGAAGAAATAACTATTTTTTTCCCTGCTTCCTACACATGGCATATATGCTTCCCAATAAAGTTATTATTTTCACTAGGCTAATATTTACTGTTGTGATTTTATTAATAAGTAACCATTGGTAATATCTGAGCCATGTAGTATATTGTCATAAATTTTCTTTTCCTGTATATTTTCGCTCTGAGTGACAATTGATTATTTTTTGTTCTTTCCATTTCTTTGGTCTTAATGTTCTTAGCACTTAACCCAAAACTGGCTGCCAGTTGTGTAAATGTCCTCTCAATTCTTTTAAACACATTGTTTCATCTTGTTGAAGAAATTTTTTTGGTGTTTTCTGACCTACATAGCTCTGGTTTTTGGTGTTTTCATCATCATCCTTTTATTTGTGTAGAATTCTTTGGTAGCTAATGGTTATCCTATAGTCCTTTAGCAGGGCTGTCTGGCTATCCACAATTTGAGATATGGAGATTTGAGATATGGAGTTAGGCTACAGGGTCCAAATTATGGTGTCAAGTTTGACTTTCCTTTTTTTTTCTTCTTAACAGAAAAATGTCCAGTTTTCTGTTAAAGTGGAATTGGGATATTTGTTACTCAGAATTGTGGAGGTATTCTGGGATGATCCACATGTTTCTTAAATAAACTTTGAGTACTTGCTTCAGTAGCATGTATGCTAAAATACTTTTTAATGCATCATTTCAAAATATAGCAATTCTCAAGCTTTTTGTGTGTCCTAAAGGTAGATTTAACTATGTTTCAGCCTTCTTGCTTTCCAGTTAAGGATTCTATTCATTCATGTACTTCCCAGCTTCCAAAATTGTCCAGTGCTGCCTCTTTTCCCATTCTTTGGCACATTATGTTTTTTTGGAAAGAAGTCTTTTGTGTTATAAAACTTGGGGCTTTAAGAACCAAAGAAACTAAATATTCATACTTGGTTTGCTCTACTAGAGTGAATTTCAGGTTTTTAAAGCCCTTTTTTTCTGCTATACTTGGTATCAGCTCTAATATTCCCAATAAATATTTTCTACTAGTCACTTTATAAAAATAGTAAATAATAATTCAAATATAAATTTGTGTTCACTTATGTCAATATGTAAAGAAAAATAAAGTTTTGAAGAAAATCTCACTTTTTTTACAAGGTGCCTCTATGTTTGTAATTATTTTGGGAACTTAAATGTTTATCTTAGAATATACTTCCTTATACAGTGTTCTTTTTGGACCATAGTTGCCAAATTTTAAAAGTAGTTATCAACCTCCAGTATACCGTACTACTTAAATTTTTAACGTGTCTACTAAAATACAAGACAGGGATACAAGTAGAAATTTTGATGTGTTTGGATATGTTGTATCCTCAGCATCTACAGCAGTGCCTGTTGAATAGTACCTACCCTGGAAATATTTTCCATGAGCATGAATTTTATCTAAGAAGTGATCAAAAGAAGCAATGCTCATTGTGGTTACCACCATTTTTATTTTCATAAGACTATCTAGGCTTTTTTTTTAATTCAAATTGAAGCATTGCCTTGAAAGAAGCAAATATGGTTGTGTGTTATGTAATGACATTTTGACATGTACTATTGTGGTCCCATAAGATTGTATTGCCTAGTGATGCCATAGTCATCTTAATTTGTGGAAGTACACTCTGATATTTGCTTAACAAAATCACCTAAAAACAGATTTGTCAGAACGTGTCCTACCATTAGATAATATACATGACTATTCTGCTTATATAGCTCATTTTGGAATTAAAAGCAATCTGAAAAATAATATAGTTCAAACAGTTGTGAATGTAGCACATCTTCTAATATCTACAGTTGGAATTGTTCAGAAATATAGCGCTTTATTAATAACATGCTACTTTTGTTTGCCTACTGAAGGTCAAGCCCTTTGCCTTATAATTTATAAGCTAAGTGTTTTTGTTTTGGCAAATAAGGACAGACTGACCTAAATCTATTCAGATTTAACTGAACCAAATGCATTCTGTATCTGTACATGGAATTGAATAGCATACAAAATTAATGATACTAGGCAGGGGGAGCTGGCGAGATAGTTGAACAGACTAAAGCACCTGCTTAGGCAAGCGCAGGGACTGAGATTCAATCCCTGGCACCACATGCCCCACCAGCCCCGCTCCCAGAGTTGGCCAGAGTCTGGGGTGTAGTGGCGCAGGCCTGTAATCCCAGTGCTGGGGAGGCTGAAAGCAGGAGGATCACCATGAGTCTGAGCTGCATAGTGAGACCCTGTACCAACCAAATACATTAAAAAAAAAAAAAAGATTAATGATGTCATTTATTAGTGACTGCTTAATTGTTGAATAGTAAGCATTGTCCTAGGTAGTGTAAATTTTTGAACCACTATGAGAGGAAGTTTACAGATGAGAAAATTAAAGTTCGGAAAGATCAAATAGTCATTTGAGTTAGACCTGAGCTGTTATGATATTAACCATACTATAGTAAAGGAATAATGACTAATAAACAACTGACAAATAATGAATTACTTCTAGTGAGAGAGAAATAAAATTCAAAAGGGGTATAGATTCTACTAGCAAAAGGTTTACATTATAGCAAAAATAATCTTCATTTACTGTATGAATATCAATTTGTGTTTTTATAAGTAGATTAACTCCGACTAAGCTCACTTGAGATATTTACTGACCCAGTTAAGGAAAGGCTTGACATTTTAAAGCAGCCTATTCAGACGTAGTTTTTTGTTTTGTTTTGTTTTTGTTTTGGCGGAACCGGGGATTGAACTCAGGCCCCTGTGCTTGGCAGGAAAGCGCTTATTCTACTGAGCTGTCTCCCCGGCCTCAGATGTGGTCTTGATGGGGTATATCCTATGCAGATGACTACATGAAAGTCTTATTGTAAGAGAATTATATTGAATAAAGTAAATTGTGAGGACATGGGGGTGTTGTGCAGTGCTAGAGTGCTCATCTAGCATGCACGAGGCCCTGAGGGCACGCTGCAGTACCACCTGAGATGGATGGATGGATGGACGGACAGACGGATGGACGAATAACTTTGGAGAAATATTTTTTTAACTCTTAACTTTTTATTTATTGTAGCAGCTTCATGGAGTTTGGCCACAGGATGTTGTTGATGGAACATGTGTAGCAGTAAATAACAGATACCGGCTAATGGCATTTGGTTGTACAAGGTAATTGATACAGACTTGTGAAATTTTAAGAATTATTTCCAAAAGTAATTTTTTTTTTTAAAACAGGGTCTCATAAAGTTGCTGTTGTTGCCAAGTTGGGCTCAAGCCTCACCTCCAGAGTGCTGCGATTGCAGACATGTCACCACACCCAGCCAGAAATAATTTTTAAAATTTAAGATATTTTAACATGCTTGTAAAACTTTATAATGCCCTCATAATTTAGGAATCACCCTTAATATAAAATCTAAAGGTATTTTTATTAAGATATTTTTCCTCTTAAAGTCCTTTTTAAGATATCAGTGTTGGTAAAAACTTTACTTGGGTTTGTGGGTTATTTTTGTGTGTTTGTTTTTCTTTTTTTGCGGAACCGGGGATTGAACTCAGGCCCTTGTGCTTGCCAGGCAAGCGCTTATTCTACTTAGCCATCTCCCTGGCTCTTGATAAAAACTTTAAATTAGTGAGTATACCTCAATTAATGAGCATACTTAAGGTTCATACAGTAAGTAAATTCCTTGCTTTAATTCATACAGTGTATATTTTAAAAATAATTCAATTAGTATCTGTGTACTTAACATGTAACAGATATAGTTCTAAACACCAGATACATCTGAAATATACAGTTAAGTTCAACAGAAGAAAGAAAAGCGTCTTTGATATATTTATGGATTTTGTTTGGTCATATCTTTTGTAGAATTTTTAAAATTTGTGTTTAAAATCTATACATAAATACATTTTACCTATAATTTTTCTTAATCTGCTGGTTAAGGTTATACTTGTCACACAAAGCAGCTAATTCTTTCTTTTCTCTGTTCATTTTTGAATGTGATAGAATTTGCTAGTGAACCCATCTCGGTATGAATTTTTCTTTTCCAGAACTTTTTGGAATACTGATTCAATTTCATTTATATAATTAAGATAATTTAGCCAAGCAATGGCCGTGACTCATCCACATGGCTGCACTGACAAAGGTTCTACAATCTGAGGTACAGGATCTCAGGATAAATCCTGAGGGCATTTCACT